TTTTTCATATTTTCTAAAGATGTGGAAATGGCACAAAAAAAAACTTGAGAGCTGTAACCAAGACAACTGTAACAACATGAGTAGACAGCCACCAAGGTTTTTCAAGTCCCTCTCTTACTCCCTTTTGCCAACCCAAACTTCCAGGTACATGACGGGACACCTTGCTTGTTTTTGTTGTTTGCGCTCCTCTGGCAGGTGGAGGGCAGTGATCCCTTCCCTTCTTCCCTCAATCTTTGAGACTAATGTAAGTAGAAGACATGGCACTGTAAATGTTCGAACATTTAAAATATTATACCACTTAAAAATAAGAAATATTACTTTTGTTACTAAGAGTTCATACTTATTATACCTGTGTCACCTTTCACACTATCGCTGTGATCATGAGCTATGGGCTTTGTAGATACAGGTCCCGGGGTGAATCGTGGTGCAGGGGCCCTTCTCTTTTGACCACAGGGCGATGCACGAAGATGGTGGGTATAGCCTCTGCTCTCAGCCTAGTCTTGCCCTTTTTTGTCTTGACAAACTGGTCTGCATCAAAATGTGCCTGCGGAGTGACTTGAGGTTACTTCACACACAGAACAACTCAGTTTTGTCTGCCCACATACATATTCCATAGTGGTTGAATACACAGTATTAGGAAACACTTTATACTTACTGGACATGTTATACTCATTACATACTGTATATAAAATATGACCAAGAATGTGAGACAACTTTATAGAAATTCATATCACATCTGTTACTGATGCCATTTGTCATACTTTGTTAAACTCACAAATAATAAAGTTCCATAACTTCAGTTGGGAACAAAGACCACACCTTATCTCCCCAAGGCAATTTCCCATCCAATAGGTGTGCTATATAGGTGTGTATAACCCTTTCTCCTGTCTGTTTATCCCTCTTTCAGCACAAGAACCAGAGGGGGATTCAATGGAGCCTGAATACCTGCACTGAGACCCTCACCCTGCACCCTGAGTCTCAACTCTCAGTGTTTTTCAAGCCTTTCCCTGTTTTTTGTATTAAACAAAACATTAAGCTTTCCCAATGGTGTGGTTTTCGTTTTGTGAAAAAGTGCAAATGCAGTGTTTGTATATAAATCACATATTTTTTTGCTGTTGGTTGTGAAATTGCTCCTGCTTCCTCCGCTCTGTGTCAGTGGGGAAGCTGTACATTCATACTCCTTTCTCTGAGCGATTTGAGCATCCCCAGGCAGCACAGCAAACCATGGTGGCGACTAGGAGGCAGCACAGCAAACCAGGACAACACGGAGGAAAAGGCACAGACAAACTGCATGATATGCTATTCAATGTTTATTGAATTCCATGTATTTGCAATGGATGTTCCTAAAACAACACATTTAACATCATCATCATCATGCTGCTGCTAGTCCTTTGATAGTCACCTGTCGGTCTCCTGTCCTTTCTGAAAGCCATAAAGATGACATTAGTCATTTAGATAACTTGTGTCCTCAATTACCATGGGATTACTGAAACTACCATGAATTTAAGAAAATGGTAGACATTAATCTAATCTGAATTTTAAAGCATTACTTTAGATCCCCTCCCTTTAAATGTATCAATAAACATTAGAAAGTGATGCTCCTGACTACCATACAAGTTTAAGAAGATAATATTGGTTTTAAAGAATTCAAAGCTATAAATAAACAGCAACAGGCTCTTTAACCAAGGCACTGTTAGCCTAACATGTAAACTAGTTGTTCACACTAATCCTAATATTATCACTTAATATTAGCAAATTCAATTTTATTTTTTAAAACATATTGATGTAAATACATACACATATCGATTTTTTGTATAAATATTGCAAATCAAAACCTTTATTCACTAATAATTACCAAAAATCGTAGTTCTATCTCCTGTTATCAATGCATTCACATTGCCCGCCATGAACTTCCGGGGAACGATCCTCGTCTACATGAACCACGTGACGATAACCGTTTTTGGACTTCCGTTGTCGTAACTCTTCTATTATATGGCTCTGGTCTGGTGGTTCCTCGGTTATCGGTCCTCCATGATCGCTCCTCGCTCCTCGATCCTCGGTCCTCCGGCAGAAATAAGAGCCATGGGACGGTACTCAAGATGGCGCAGGCAAATCAACTTCCGGTGAGACCGAGGACCGAGGAGCGAGGAAATGAAAATAGTCGACCTGAGAAGCAGCCCAGGGCACAGCAGCCAATATGGCCGCTCAAAGCAGCTTGACTTTACACTGTGTGGGATTGGTGGATTTGTGTGTCCGTCAAGGAAATCTCGGCCGGCAGCCATCATGGTCTGAAATGACCAATGGACATCGAGAAATCACTAAGGACCTACCCACCAAGTAAACAAAACATAAACCACGTGTCTCCCATCAGTTTAGGTCTGTGAGGAGAGAGAGAGAGAGACAGAGAAAATGGCTAAAAAAAACGTTACAGTTGCCGACTTCGCTAGAGATTTTTTTCGCTAGCAGCAGTGAAGATAGAGCCTCAGAACCTGAAGTCTTCGACTCTTCTGAAGAAGAAGAATACAAAGACAACAACAAGGATCCATTTGGACATGGGTAAGTGTAAATATTACAGTAATAGTGTACTGGCAATGTGTGGGGAATACCGCGAAAATGAACAATAGGTTTATTGATATATATTTTTTATCGATAGTCATGAACTTTTTATTGGAACAAAATAGACTCTCCATTAGCAAACGTTTACTCTGTGTTAACGTTATTTTGGTGTGTAAAAGTGAGATTACATGTGTAGATGATTAAATTAATCATGTATTCGTCCCACAACGGAGACATTTACAGTGACATGTTTTTGCCATCGATTATTTTATCATAGCCTACTGTTCTGTACAGATGAGACTTTGTCATAGATTTATTTATGTGTGCCTGTTATTATTTTACCGTCCTGTACAGATGAGACTTTGTAATCAGATGTAGCCTATGTATATGTGTGTCTGTGATTTTATACTGAATGTAAAGTAACTGGAAATACCTGTGTGGTGTGTGTGTGTGTGTGTGTGTGTGTGTGTGTGTGTGTGTGTGTGTGTGTGTGTGTGTGTGTGTGTGATGTGTGTGTGTGTGTGTGTGTGTGTGTGTGTGTGTGTGTGTGTGTGTGTGTGTGTGTGTGTGTGTGTGTGTGTGTGTGTGTGTGTGTGTGTGTGTGTGTGTGTGTGTGTGTGTGTGTGTGTGTGTGTGTGTGTGTGTGTGTGTGTGTGTGTGAGAGATTGAGAGAGACTCCTTCTGCAACCTCCCAAACTTTATTTGTATGTGTGCATTGTTATTTGTGCTTGATCAACATTTTACTTGAACTTTATTTCAATGAAATTAGTTGTAATTATTGTCCTACACAGGCGGTGTTTATCCAGCAGCCACAACATCCATCTGTGCCGGCCCCCAGGTCAAGATCTACTGTGGCTTAAGGGCCTTCACCAGAGCCATCACCACCAAGGACCAGCAGACCAGCATCACTACAGCTGCCTCCACCTCCATCTGCGGCTGCTACCAGGTCAAGATACACCTCAGCACAAAGGCTCCACCACAGCCATCACCTTCAACCCAGCCAGCAAGGAGGTCTCGTGGAGGTCTCGTATAGCACTTGTACCCCCCACCTACACAGCAGCCCATGCACCATCACCCCCATCTTCACAGCAGCCAGACCCTGTCTTGGAAGACAGACAAAGACCTTGACACTGTCTTGACATTTATAATGAATAGTTGGTTGAAAGTTCTGATGTTCAATATTGTAAATAGTGAGATTTTCCAGTTTCTTATATTTATATAAATAGTTGGTTGAAAAAAACATATTTATAATAAATTGTTGATTGAAAAAAAAAGGTTGAATGCTCAATTTGTATTTGTACACATCACATGAACCTTGGTATGTAATATGAAGTCATTATTCAGTCCTAATGTATCTCAGTCCCTGCTGTGGTGAAAGTAGAGTGATAAACACCTGTTTTACTCAAAATTTGAATTTAATGTTTTTCATTTTAGACATGAATAACACATTTATATACAGTGTAATTCAAATATTTCACTGCTTTTGTGATCCTAGGACTTTGGTAACCAAATCTAAAACACCAAAACAATTCGATTCACAAGAGTTTTGAAGATTTTCCAAAAATCGGATTTCACATTTTTAGCTTTTGAGCTACTTATCTCATCAAACAGTGCTCTAAGGTGAGCAATATGCATATATAGCAAGACCAGAGATTGTCCTGAACATTTTTATATGTAACACATGGGTGCCATGTTAGAAGAAATACATTTAAAAGGTGATTTAAGAAAACATCTAAAAATCGAGAAAATACCCTTAGACTCCAGAGGGTTAAGAATGGTAAAACTGCGCCCCCTGGGTTGTCATTCCTAAATTATGAATGACAGCTTGTGGAAAGTTTGCTAGACTACTGGTTGCATGGCAACTAGGCATCTCGCGAGTTGCGGTAATTGGTTAGTACAATAAAGAAAGGATTTGTTTTGGAATTATTTTGTGTTCCGTTTTTTCTTGGGCGGCCCTCAATCCAATATTGGGTACCTAAATTGGCCCTCACTCATCAAAACTTTGAGAACCCCTGCTGTAGAAGAAACCTAGCCTAACCCTCAGCTTTTTAAGCAGGTTATTGACATGAAGTTTAAAAGTGAGACAATCATCAAGCCAGATACCAAGGTATTTGTAACAGGTAACCACTTCAAGTTTTATTCCTTGTGTAGTTACAATATCTAAAACATGCTCTGGTATCTTTTTAGCTTTAGAAAAGAGCATTACCTTGGTTTTATCAACATTTAAAAGAAGCTGTAGTTCAGAGAGCTGAGTCTGAATAATGTTAAAAACAGCCTGTAATTTAACACCAGCCTCCTTAATGGAGGGACCTGCACAGTACATCACGGTATCATCCGCATAAAAATAAAAAAGTAGCTTCATCCACATTTTCACCTAAACTATTGATGTAGATGGAGAATAAAAGTTAATTATTACAGTTTACATGTTCTGTTGTTTCCCTCAGCACTCTCCTGTGGTGCAGCTGAACGTGGGGGGGCACTTGTTCAGCACCGCTCTGAGCACGCTCCGTAAACACCCCGACTCCAGGCTGGCTGAGCTGTTCAGCTCTCCGCCCAAACTACGCTCCGACCCTCTGGGACGCTACTTCATCGACCGCGACGGGTCGCACTTCGGAGCCGTCCTCGACTTCCTGAGATCCGACTGCCTGCCAACACACAGCACCAAGGAGGTTGGGGGGTGTTCCATTCAGTGGGCTGCTTTCTGTATGAACCCTGCCACTGACTCATCACTGATGTGTGTGTGTGTGTGTGTGTGTGTGTGTGTGTGTGTGTGTGTGTGTGTGTGTGTGTGTGTGTGGTGTGTGTGTGGGTGTGTGTGTGTGTGTGTGTGTGGTGTGTGTGTGTGTGTGTGTGTGTGTGTGGTGTGTGTGTGTGTGTGTGTGTGTGTGTGTGTGTGTGTAGGTTCACAGAGAGGCGGTGTACTACAACATCAGACCCCTGGTGAAGCTCCTGGAGGAGAGCCCTCCTCTGTTTGGAGAGCTGGTGGGCCGGCAGCAGTTCCTTTCCAGAGTCCCCCACTACAGGGAGAACATCGAGGTCAGACACTTCTACTCATCTTGTACATTGTAATGCATTGTTCAAAATGTGCACCGCAACATCTCTTAACCTTCTTTTGTGTGCGCACTTTTTTGTGAGTACTTTAATTACTGCAGGTACCTTAATCTACACTTTAAAGGTGGGGTAGGTAAGTTTGAGAAACCGGCTCGAGATACACTTTTTGTTATATTCCATGGAATGCTCTTAACATCCCGATAGCAATGAATATCTGAAGTGCTTTGACAATAAATCCATAAAAAATGTCATCTGTGGAAGCTCTGTGGTACTGTAAAAAGCACGACCAATCATCTGAGCCGGCCAGGCTAAAGTAACTGGATGGCCTACCTGCCTGACAGCCTTCCATCTGTGCACAAACTTATCTCGTGCCCTCATTGGTCATGTGCGCGTTCGTGTGTGTTGGAGGAGGGGCTCTGTGAGGAAGTGGCAGATTTGTTCCAGCTGTGTATTTTCAAATTCTAGCGCACTCGAGCTGGTTTCTCCAAAATGACCTACCCCACCTTTAAGTGGATGTGAAAGAGTGGTAAAGAAAATAAATGAGAGCTCATGATAGCCTTGACATTATTCAGTCTATATTAGATTTGTTTTCTGGGAAAGTGTGTTGGTTGAAATTTGCCTAAAAATATGTGAGATTGTTACCAAACAAGCTATTCTCTGATCAGAGGGAATTATGCCTCAAACGTTCCCATTTATTTGATCCATGATGGCGCATTTCTTCTCAGTTGAGCCTTGCAAAAACGTGTGCATCATGACGTCAAACTACTAGGAAGTAGAAACATGTAACCATAATAGAAATGTATTTGACGATTGATAAACATATCGTCCCTGTTTCCTTCCAGGTGCTGATTCGTATCGCCAGAGCCGAGGCCATAGCCGCCCGCCAGTCCACCATCATGATATGCGTGCTGCGCACAGAGGAGGACTTGGGTCTCTATGATAACGCCATCAACAGCCTGGAGTCAAATAAGGAGTCGGTGGTGACGTTCGGACCCTGGAAGGCCGCGCTGTCCGTCAAAGACCTGCTGGACTGTGTGAAGCTGGACATCGAGAGTCAGGGCTACAGTGTGAGCATCCAGCGCCACGCGGTGGAGAGGAGCTTCCTGTCTACCAGGAGCTACGACTACTTCCACAAACTCATCTTCACCTGGTGGTGATGACAGGGGCTGCTTTCACCTGCTTCTTAAGAAACTAGATTAAAAACAACAGACAGCAATTTGATATTTTACAATTTGGAATAGACCAAGTTAATCCAAGTCGTTCCTGTCAGGGAATAATTTCCATACATGTTTACCTTTCGCCCTCTGACGCAGATGCCCAGCCTTGGGCAGCAAGTTATTGTTGTTACCAGTTTGTGACCGGGCAGCTCTCGGTCAGAGATAGTTATTGTTGTGGGACACCTGGAACACATCCTTCTCGGGGTGTAGAGGACCCCGAGCCATAAGCGACAACAAATGTGATTCAGTGTCCTCAGCTGTTTAGTCTCTCTATTGAAGAATGTTGATTATTACACTCTGAACTAGTTAAAACGTGGAGCTACAGGAGGGCTCTTCAGAATTGATTGTGGCATCTCAACCGTGTGGTCAACTCGTGGCCCGTGACATGTCTTCTGAATTCTCCGGCCGAAGCTCCAAATACACCGTCAGTGTTCGCCATCAAAGCTCCAGCTCGTGTCTCTCTGAGTCCTGACTCCCTATTGCTTCAGAAGTTTCCCCCACAGTTCCTAAATACTTTTAAAGTCTGGGAGCATGTTTAAGCCTCCATGTGAAAGGGTCGCTCAAGCACGTTTATATAGTCACTATTATCATTATGTACTAAATGTTGATTGCATAATGTGATGGGTATAAAATAATGACACTTTGACCTTTTTGATTGGTTTCACTTTGTAATTCTGTCTGCCTCTGCGTTACGCTCTTCCATTCACATCAAAACTCCTACACTCATACACTGCATCAATGCTCCCAAAGAGTAGTTCGCTGAGAGGCTACTCACTGCTTATCCTCAGGTAGCAGAAAAAACGGAGTAATATTAGCTGTGGAAAATAAACAGAGCCCTGTTGAGGAAAAAGAAGGCAAAGAGATAAAACATTATTTCTGATTGCATAAATCTAACAAACCTGACTACTTATAAACACAACCAATTTAATCAGCACAGGATTGGGGTTTCTAGTTCTTCAGCATTCTAATGATGTTCCTTGCTTTGAACAGTATCGTTAGCCAAGCTGTTAGCGAGAGCCATGTTGAAAAGTACGAGATCAACTGGCAGAATATGTCTTATGAATGTATCTGTTGCACATTTAGTGCTGTCTCTTTGTTAAAACAAACACTTACTTTTAGCTGCTTTATTATTGTAATGTTTTGTATTTTGAACTTAAATAAAACAACTACCCAGTTATATTTATTTTTCACTCACAAACTTTAAATCTGGTTGTTTATTTTGTGCATTGACCATCTACAGGGGTTGGACACACACGCACACAACACACACACACACACACACACACACACACACACACACACACACACACACACACACACACACACACACACACACACCCACACACACACATACACACACACACACACACCACACACACACACACACACACACACACACACACACACCTGAACAATATAGTACAATTCAAAGTAACAGCACTGCAATGGAAACGACTTTAGTGCAGTGGTGAAAAAATGTCCAAACCATTAACTGAAGTACAACTGCAGAAGAATTGCTAACAACATGAAGATTCAAACATATTACAGTAGTTGGTCGAGGTGGAGCTGCATCTCTTTTGTAGTCTAGTTTGTAACAATGGTTCATGTTTGGTTTGGCAGATCTTAACTTAAAACATAACTAGTGAATATACAGTAGATCAAATGAAGCAAGAGTACAGTAAATACAGCAACAGCTGACATCAAATCTTTGCTGAGCCTAAAGATAATCATAAATAACATAATTAAAATAAATATATTATGCTCAAAACAGCAGCATCCAACAGTCTCTAATCCTTGGATATTACATGTCTCGTGCATGCATGCACGCATGCATGCACGAGACAGCTGTAGCGCGGAGATCATCATATCATTCTGTCTTGTATTACTTAACAACAAAACACACAAAAACCCGGCTCGTTCGCGGGCGTGAGCCGGCCTCCGTCGTTCAACCGTTCGCGACTGACACATCACATCCATCCACGGTGGTTGTTTTAAGAAACATGAGGATTCCATGATCTTTTTTTTTAACAAGTCTGTGTTTTTCTTAAACGAGTATCCAAACAAACTAGGATCCATTTAAACATCAACTACAAGGACAAAAGTAATAGGTTAGCTTACATTTAAAAAAATAAAAAACCGCGTTTTGGTTTTACCTTTTGACCGTAGCTACGGAAAGTGAAAAGGGACATATGTATGTAGCCAGCTGAAGCATAGCTTAGCGAACAATATTTCGCCGAACATGGCTGCACACCTGAAGAAGCGAGTTTATGAGGAGTTTTCCCATGTCGTACAGGTGAGCACAATGCCCCCCTTCTGTAGTCTCTTATCCCAGAGACAGCTCCATGAGAGCTAGCTAGCTAGCCTGTTAGCTAATGCTAAATGCTAACAGACGCTAACACAACAACGCAGGTCATCTGTGTAATGTTTGTACAAAATACATATTATTTATACACGAATTATACATGGTTGTTTGATGAGACAGTTAGTCGGGTAACGTTGGTATAACTACATCAACCTGTACTCTACTGAGTTACGATAGCAGCTGTTAGCAAAAATGTTTTTTAAGCATCACAAGTAAGAGTAGTGATGCAGTAAAAATATTCGCTATTCTATAAATGATGGCTTACAATTAATGATAGTCCTGCATTAATCTACATGTTGTATTTAACTGGTGTATATGTTAATGGTTGGACTATTTCATAATCAGTACATTTGGAGATGCACGTTTTTAAATAGACAGTAAGGGTATGAACGATTCTAATCTGCAAGGTAACTAAAGTGTCAGATACATATGGTGTTATAAACAGTACAACACACCCCTCTGAGATGTACCGGAAAAGAAGTACAAAGTTGCATAAAATGGAATTATTTTACTACCTCGAGTTTGTTCTAAAATACAGAAGTAGAGTATTCACCAGTTTCACTCTTTGCACTTACAGCTTTTAGGTTCTTCAGCTTCTATGTATCACTGAAGTATTATATCGTTTTTCAGCTTGATACTTTACAGTTTATTTGGCATGATAATGTTAAGATAGCAAAAGTTTAATGCTGAAGAAATATTTTCTTGGGTTGGAGTGGTTTCAGTTTTGACTTTAAAGAGCTCCCTGTGATTTGAACCTGTGAATGTGTTGTCATCATCCTCTCTACAATCAATAAAGGATAAAGCCACGATTCAGTGTGGGTTGCACTCAATACAGTCTAAGAAAATAAATAAAGTCACTATTGGGGATCAAACCTCCATGTTACATTACATTACATTACATTACATTTAGCTGACGCTTTTATCCAAAGCGACTTACAATAAGTACATTCGACCAGGAAGATACAACCTTGAAGAAAACAGAATCATAAAGTACATCAGGTTTCATAGAGCCAAACATTTCAAGTGCTACTCAACTGGCTTTAGATAAGCCAGTCCTTTATTAGTATATAAGTGCTTTGTTAATAGTTCTAACGCTCGAAGTGGAGTCGAAAGAGATGAGTTTTCAGTTTGTTAAATGTTCACATATGACGGAATAATTCTGAACAATTAGATCAGCTTGAAGGTTTTGTCTGAAAAAGAAAGAGATCCCACACCATGAGGTAAAACAATATCCCGCTGCTTTTGTAGACATTAGGGTTAGATACATTTTTGTTGTTTGATGTTAACAGATTCCCCATGAAGAGGCGCCGGCGAAGAAGCTGCGTCTGTCCAAACCCAGTAAGTCTGCAGCGCTGCACATCGACCTGTGTAAGGCCACCAACTCCACTGACGCCCTGCAGTCCCTGCTGCAGTTTGCACGCAAGCCTGTGGAGGTGGAGAGCGTGGAGGGTGTGGTCCGGATCCTGTTGGAGCACTACTACAAGGTAAAGAACTGGGCTGATAACCAGGGGCATGTTTGAATAATGCATTACTTTATGGAGAGCTTTGTAACTAAAATCTCTGCAAATGGGTAATAAAGTAGCACAGTTAACAAGGTCTGACTGTTACATTCTCAATAGGTCTAAGCTAAGTTGTATAAAGAAAACACCTGATGCTGATTACTTGTGTCACTTGTTTTTTATTTAATTGCTGCTACTCTTTTTTAGCCATGGTTGTGTACTTATTTGTCTTCATTTAGATTGTATTACTAATGTCTGGTTTTCTTCTCTGTATATAATAAGTTCGATATTTCTTTCTTTATTGCATGTCATTTTTTTATATGCTACATTTCCCCGCTGCGGGACTAATAAAGGAATTCTGATTCTGATGTCCCTCCCAGGAGGCGGACAACTCTGTGAGGCTGAAGATCGCCTCTCTGCTGGGTCTGCTGTCCAAAACACAGGGCTTCAGCCCCGACTGCATCGTGGACGACGCCATTAACACACTCAACAATGAGAGTAAGATATGTATACACTCAGTCCGAACCTTGGATTTGGTACATAATTACACAAATGCACTTCTTCCCTTCAACAAGCCATATTTACACATTATTAAAATGTGTATTTTGGAAAGAGTTGCTTGAAATATATTCTCTGATTTTCCTCTTTCGCCCAGCACTGAATAAACAGTATTTGTTAAGAAAAGGCAATATTGTTTCTATACACTGTACAGGGCTTTGTGTTTTCACAGAATAATCTCATCTTTTTGAGAACAGCTCTAATATTTTCCCCTTTAAAATGTGTAATTAACGATGATAATAAAACTTTAAAAAAAGAATAAATGAGTTACGTTTTTAATGACTTCTCTTAAAATAATAAACTCAATATGCGGAATAGCATCTTTTAACTTTTAACATCTAAAATAACTTACATTTTATTAGGAATCTTTGGCCTCCCCATTGAAAAACATAACTGTGAGTAGTTAACAAGGTGCTCCATCTGCTTCTCTGTCTGCAGAGTCCCATCAGGTCCTCGCCCAGCTGCTGGACACTCTGCTGGTCATTGGAACACAGCTGCCTGAGAGTCCTGCAGTCAGACAGAGGCTCATAGAGATGGCTTGCAAGGTGACAAACACACACACACACACACACACACACACACACACACACACACACACACACACACACACACACACACACACACACACACACAGAGCGTTTACTACAGGACTTACAATGAAGTCTTCCTTACCGACTCAACAGGACATTCTGGAGAATTCAGCAAAAGTCTTTATGTGTTTTTTTTCTCTGTCCTCCTCTCAGCACCTGTCTGATACGTATTTCGGGGTCAGGAACAAGTGTCTAAAGCTCCTTGGATGTCTCGGCATGATGGACACTTCACTGACCAAAGACAGCGAGGGACAGGGCACATCATCAGGTTTGTGCTGTCGCTCAGTATATTTAGGCGACTTGGCTGTCACTGTTGGACATAAAGTCCAATAATAAAGTGATGTCGTATTTTACTTATCAAACTTATCATAGGCAGTGTAGGTAGTCTACTTAACTGCCGGTAGCAAGCTCTACTTTTGGAAAAGTAGACACAAGTTAGCGCACAGAAGCAACGTGATGTGCTGCTGTGGAGGGGGGCAGCCGCACAGTGTAGGATATCCACCTAAAACAAAGCCCCACTTAAAAAATGTATATCAATGCCCCGGCCCGCATTAATAATATGCTGGCCCACCTGCCTGCATGCACTGTGCCTGTTCAGTGCACGTGACAGGAGTCTTTCACAAGCTGCTAACTTATC